AATAAAGATCTCTTCCAAGAAAAAGAAAAAATGCTCTATTCTCTCAATGGTGGAGGGAAGCATTTTGGCTAAGGTTTAAGGGTTAAAGATGAGGGTTAACACAAGGAAAAACAATCACAATGTAGGGACAAGTGCTTAGCACTTATTAAACAAACAAAAGGTTCAACGGGGACAACTAGGGGTAAAAACATACGTAAGGGGTAGGCTTGAAAGGCTCGGGCTAAATAAAAATGGCCTAAATCATTTCAAAACATGCAAATCTTAGACTTCACTTGGAGAGTAATGAGGCAAGTTCTAGCAAAACAACCATGACCGGAATCTCACATAAGCCTTCACTAGCAATGCATAACATACTAGATCAAGAATTGATTCAATTATTAAGTGGTTAACAAGGCTATTGGCAAGAGAATAGATCAATCATGAGTTACCCCATTGGCTCATCAATCACAAGTTGAATTGCAACAAGTTCCACCAAAACAAACCACAAACCAACAAAGGGGGAGTAATCACAACTTCAAGCAAGGAAAGACAATTTATTCAACATTATGCACAATGAGTCATCCAAGCAAAGATTTAAAAAATTCAAATTTTTATAGAAAACACCCAAATTATCCCCTCCCCCACACTTAAAGGATACATCGTCCTCGATGTGAAAGACAACAAAGAACAAGGGGGGAAGGATAGCACAATAAGCACAATGAGCACAATCTCTACTATCTATACCAAGTAAAGCACTATACACAATTAAAAAAAGTACAGAAGGTAGATGAGACTCCCCTAATGAATCTTCTTGTGTCAAAGAATCATCATGAAGCCTTCTTGTAATTGAGCATACTCCTTGGTGTCATTCCTAGAGTCAAGAGCATATAGACATGAAAGCACAAGTGAAAGCATGATATATCAAAAATAAAAGTGTAAAGAAAAGTAAAAAAGAAAGTAAAGTGCAATAAAATGAAAGATAACATGAGGTGCCTCCCATGAAGCGCTAAGTTTAACGTCGCTAGCTCGACTCAACCTCTCAAGGTAAACCATCAAAGGATTTGAGAATGAAGATCCCCTTCTTTCCATCGACCTTTTCTTCCAAAAAGCACTTCAAGTGGTAGCCATCAATAAATTCTCTTAAGCTCATCTTCACCACTTCAAAGTTTAAGAAACTATGCTCATCCAAATCAAACTTCAAACATATCCCTTCCTCAAAGCCATTTTTAATCCATAAGTCATACAAGGATTTCTTCCTAAACATTGCTTCTTGGTAGTAGATATGAGATTTACCAAACCCAAAGTCTCCATTCCAATTTTCTTCTTGATTACCCTTTTCTTGAACAAGTAATGGAAACCTTGGATCTTCATCATGCACCAATAGGAAGTAAGAATCCTTGGATATGAATATAGGCCAATGAGGGCCTACACTTTCAAGAATATTGACTCCTCCCCGGCAACGGCGCCAATTTTTGATGTAGCAAAAATAAGATGTGAGCTCGGGTGTGTAATGTCGTCCTCAGGGGATTGGGGGTTATGGCACGCAATATGCAATCACAAGAAACTAGGCACTAGCATAAGGAAATCAACAAGAAGCTAAGCAAACTACAAGTTTAAGGAAATGATAAAACTAACACATATACACAAAGATAAACACAAATTAAGAAATAGGACTCAAGCTAGGGAGCATTATCATCTAGATGCTTTAACAACCCAAGAGATTAGGGAGAATAAGTAACCAAGGAATCAAGCGGGAATGCACGTAGGTATCCTAGTCTACGAACCATTCTCATGATTAATAAACAAGGATTAGAACAAGGAATTGCCCCACTTTCGTGGTGAATCAATTCCAAGTCCATCAAGCACACAAAGCATCTAAAATCCCCAATTTCCCCTATTTTCGTAGGAAGAAATCGGGTCTATGCAAGGGGTGGCTTGGATTCATCACCCAACTCTTGTTGAGGCAAGGAATCCTCCAAAAATAAGCTAATGAATGTGTACATCAAACATTAACAAGATATAAACACAACACCTTCATAAACACATGAACCCTAGGTAGTGTTCTTCCCTTTTTTTTGCAATAATCACAAATCAAGCATCAAGATAGATAATACAACCCTAACTCAAGTCCATAAACTAACTACTCATGATTAAATAGCATAAATAACACAAAAGCATAAGTAACAAACATAAATCTTGCAAAAGAAATAGATAAAAGGAAGGAAAACTTCTGTATTGAAAATGGATGGTGGAATCTTGAAATGTTGGAATCCAAGCTTCAAATCCAAGATTACAAGCTTCAAAAGTGTTAAGAAACATAAATCTAAGCCTAATCTAACCTAAAAATATGTAGGGAAGTAAATGAGAGTGTCTAGGGTTCTAACAAGAGTCAAAACCGAGTTGAAATGACCCAAAAACGCGCCTAAATAGAGCAGAGCATAGTGGGACGCCCTCAGGGATGGGCGTACACCAGGCAGTACCATTTTGGGTGCATTTCCAGTGAACACTGGAATGGTCGTACTGGCATGCGTACGGGCGTACGGCAGGGCGTACGCCACCTGCTTCTTTTTTCAGATCTTGGATGGGCTGATGGATGGGCGTACGGGAGGCAGTACGGTACTCTTGAAATTCCTAATTGCATTCCAAACTCTTTGATTGATCTCTTGGTCCAAGAATTGTTAAGATCTTTCCAAAAATCATTGAATTTCTCACTTGTTGTGAATGATTGCACATTGAAATAAAACCAACATAACTTAGTCACAATTCACACAAGTTTTTAAGCAATTTAAAAATAAAATGGGTTCAAGAAGGGGTAAAAATATAGACAAAAATGCACTTATCAAATGGCTAGGACACCATTTGATGCAAACATTCATCTAACCAAGATCCACGGAGAAGGTATTTCACAAGTGGAATATGCTCGGGTTATTGGTAGTTTGATGTATCTTATGAGCTGTACTAGGCCGGATATTGCCTATGCGGTTAGTAAACTTAGTAGATATATGAGTAACCCTGGTGTTATGCACTGGAAGGCAATAGTAAAGGTTATGAGATACTTGAGGTATACTCGTGATCTTGGACTACACTATGGGAGATATCTCGTTGTACTTGAAGGGTATTGCGACGCGAACTAGATATCTGATATTAAGGACTCTAAGTCCATGAGTGGCTACGTGTTTACACTAGCCGGTGCAGCCGTTACATGGAAATCCTCTAAGCAAACTGTGAGAGCTAGATCCACGATGGAATCTGAGCTGATAGCCTCGGACAAAGGTTGTGAAGAGGCTGAATGGCTACACCATTTTGTAGAGGATATTCCTAATTGGGAAAGACCGGTACCTCCAATATGTGTGCATTGCGATAGTCAAGTCAAAATAGGGAGAGTACAGAGTCATATGTATAATGGTAAGTCTAGACATGTGCGTCGTAGACATAATACCATTAGACAACTACTCACAACTGGTGTTGTCTCGATTGACTACGTAAAGTCAAAAGACAATATAGCAGATCCGCTGACCAAAGGGTTAGGAAGAGAAGTTGTGGAGAGGTTGACACGAGGAATGCGTCTAATGCCTTTGGACTAAAAAGTTCTATAGTGGATACCTAACCTATCTGGCACCTAGGTTCAATGGGACAACTAAATTATGGAACGGAGCGCGTCACTGTGGGGGTCTCGGACTCCCTACCACTCCTCATTAAAACAGTGACTCCCGCAGGAGGCTAGCATGTTAAAATGCTTTAATGATTCTTGAGTATGCGGGATACTCGAGAAAGAATCACCTATGTTAGAGAGAAGTGAGGATCGCTTCAAAGGAGAATTGTTGGGCACAATTCTTTAGAAACTCTCGCAGAACCAGGAACGGTGACCCACGACCAAAACGGGCACACTCATGAGAGTAAGAGCATGGTTGGGAGATTCATGTGTGAGATATGTCATCGTCTACACAAACGGCAGTCGATTCAAAGACATCGCGTTGTACCGTACAGCCAGTAGAGTAAACATGTCTTCACAAGGGAAGGTTCAAAGGGTATAGTGACTCTCTACCTATCCTATGCAGGGATCGACCGTTTGAACACAGTTGTTTCCGATTTTAAAATACCCCGAAAATCAATTTTCATTCATGTGGGGGATTGTTGGAAAAAATAGCTTAAAATGGCATAAAATGGCACGTTAAGTGGCTATTTTGTGGTACAATTATCAGTGTGGTCCACTTCTGATTTGGGTCGGGTCAAAGTGGATTCGTGTTCTTCATAGTGAGACGAAGAGATTGATATATTGTACGCTCAAAACGGATAATGGGTGAATGAGATATTGATTCTCAAAGTAGACCCATTTGAGTTGGAAAATGAAGGGAAAAAGTGAGCTTTTGTCCCACATTGGTTTGGAATAAAGACTTTCCCCCCTTATATACAAGAGCTCTTTTGAAGCTTGTAGAATTGTATAGCATAGAGGTTCTCTCGCGCGGGGGGGGGGGGGGGTGCAATTCAAATTCCCGGCACCTGGGGGCACGAATGTCGTCCAGAAGGCTGGCCTTGCGGGCTAAGTTATGCCAAACTTCGGTATCATTTTGCACCAATCTCGTGCTACAAGAGAGCACGAGAGGTTGTGGTGCAAGGGCCAAAACTGGGTGAGGTCGAAAGAGTTGAGACCGAACCCTGTACGCCAACGGTCTGGAACCCGAAAGTTCTGACTGTTGAGGAGATTGAATTCATCTGTTACGGAATTAATTTTCTATTAATTCCAATTTTGAATTCTGAATTCAATTCTCAGGTATTGGCCTGCTATTATAGCTATTGGAGAGCCAGCTTTAAAGTGCCCTAATAAAAGCTATTTAATCCTTCAACCCTATATAAGAGAGGGTAGAGGCAGTAGAGATTTACACACAGAGTGCTCACTTGACTCTTGCAAAAAAACCAACACCAAACACTAGCCAAATTTCTTCATCTTTCCTTCCCTATTTTCCAGAAAATAATAATCTTATTTTTTGATTATTATTTGTTTTTCTACCAACGGTTCCTACACCATTAGACTACTACTTCTTTTTTTTTTTTGACTCATCTTATTGTATATATCATATTTCAGAACATTTCTAATATGTACATTGATTTCTGCTATATTTGCATTGGATGGGAGGATGCACCAGTACACAACAAGTACACAAGAACTCTAGAGGAGCTGAAGAGCTACAAAGCTGCTGAAGAGTTTTTCCAGATCTTCCAATCTGTCTATGTGCATCAAATCCAAATGCTCGAGAAGTTGCAGTCGAGAAAGAGCAAGCTTGACAAGAAGCTCAAGTGCAGTCGTTCCTGGAGAATGGTCTCACAAATGATCTTTGCCGCTGCAATTGCTGTTGTTCTCATCTCCTCAGTGGTGGCTACAGCCATCGCTGCACCGCCTGTTGCAGGCGCACTGGCCGCGGCTACTGTCATTCCCATTGGCGTAATAGAGAAATTGGTTGATTCTCCTCTCAGGAAATGTGAGGATGCCATCAAAAGACTGCACGAAATCATCAACTCGACTGAAGTTAGAATGTCTGTTGCCATCAAAGACTTGGGCACCATAAGCATGCTGATTAACAAGTTGGAAATTGAGATAGAATCATTATTAAACAAGGAAGATTTCACAACTAATGAAGATGGTGCAAATATTTGCATTGAAGATATCAGGAGGAAGGTTGATTTCTTCATAAAGGATGTTGATGATTTAGGGGTGCAAGCTCGTATTTGCAGCAGCAGTGGCGGACCCAGTGTGGGGGCAGCTGCCCCCCACTCCCCCCACCCCACCCCACCCCTTTATATATATGTATGTATATGTATACATATATAGCATGAAATATTATATAAAATCAATATTTATGTTGAAAATGCCAATAATTTGAGTAGCATAGTTGGTTGAACTCTAAATTTTGTCTTATATAAAAGGCTTATGTCATGGGTTCAAATCTCATTAGCACAATCATTATTGTATGGACCATGGTCCACACAAGTTGTGTGGACCATATTTTGTCTACTATAAAATAATGTACATTCAGTACAAAAATAATGTACATTCAATATAAAAATAATGTATATTGTAGACAGGGGATATACATTATTTTTGTTCTGAGTGTACATTATATTTTATAATGTACATTCAGTACAAAAATAATGTACATTTAGTATATTAAAAATATACTTTTTGTTATGGTCCACATAACATTGTGTGGACCATGGTCCATACAATAATTTGCCTCATTAGCACCACTTTTAATTATTCTCTCTTTCATTTCTTCACAAGATAAATTAATTTTTTTTGTCTACTTTTTATGAATAATTTAATTAACAAATTAAATGCTCTTTTAGTCTAGTTTTTATAAGTCATTTAATTAATGTAGTATACAAGTTTATAATATACTTTATTGTATTCGAATTAATTTAGAAAAATCGATCTAACTAAAAGAAATTAAAATTTAAAAGTATTTGTGAATATATATTGTTATTCAAATTATTTTATCTAATTGATTATGTTTCATATTTTCTCATAAATATATTGTAATTTATAATGTATTTTGTATTTTAACCTTAACATTCGCCCCCACTCAGATGATTTTCTGGGTCCGCCACTGTGCAACAGTGATATACAGAGAGCCAGAATTCTTATATTGCAAACAATAATGAAGTACCCTAACCATTAGACTACTACTTCTTTTTTTCTGACTCATGTTATTGTATATATCATATTTCAGAACATTTCTAATATGTACAGTGATGTGTATATTCTTTTATTGTAACTCTCTTTGCTAGCTAGGATCGTCAGAAATTGCCTTTATAGGTGACTTGGTAACTTGTTACTATGCCATTTTATTATCTCTGATTGTCTGAATAGTCATCTGCATAAAGTATGGTATTTACATAAGTTAACTGCAATGCTGCAATAATATGGCAATGATACGTGATGATTTTTATTTTTTTAAAGTTTATTTATTACTCTTAGTAAGAGAATATTTATTCCTGAGCTTTCACTCAGTCATTCAGTGTCAAATGTGCTATACTGCTATAGTACTTTGCTTTGTTACCACACCAAACCTATTATATGGTGATTTAAAATTCTTTTAAATGAACTTCAATATCTCATAGAATTCCTTTGGAATAATGCAGCCAATGGGGTTCTCAGAGTTGTTTGGCCTTCTTGTGTGGCTTGCAGTTATATTTGGTTAGGTATTCTATCTCTTCATTCGTTTAATGGTTTAGAAGGTAGTTTGTCTCTGATGATTATGCTGGTACGTAATCTTTTAATCAAGAAAATCTAAATTCCTCTTTCCTCTCCTGTTTTTTAATTTTTCTAATTAATAATTGATATGCTGATGTTTTTGGTTTTTAAATTGAATTCTATGATTCTAAATTTCTGTTGGTGAACAACGTAGCTGTTGAAACCAAAGGGCCATAGCTGACCGGCTCAAACCCCCGCCTTGTAGCCCTAACTAACAAAAGACCACAAGGAAGTAAACCAACCTAGTTTACCCATAGCAGACCGGCTCAAACCAAGGGGGAAAGGATTTGAACTCACGACCTTGTGGTTATAAGCGTGAATCTCTTGCCATCTTGGCTGGGGTTACCCCCGCAAGATATGATATTTGATTTTAAAAAGATGTGGATCTCTTTTATTTATTTATTTGTCGCACTCGTTGGTTCTTTTATTCATTGCATATTTTATGTTTGATAAAAAGACTAAGAGAGGTTTTAAAATAGATTGTGTTTTTGTTGTACTACTAGATAGTAATAGTTCCACAACATATATGCTTTTGCTGCCCTGCTCTCATTGACAATAGAAGTTATAAAGCTACTTTTTTCTGTGGTTGAATTAGTTTATCTAATAAATTACATATATAGTTTCTCACTTTCTCATAATAATTTATGCTAAAACAATCTTTTTTTTTTATGCATTGAGAACCAATGATTGCTGTCCAGCAGGCAGCAACTTAACTTTGTCATAGATTAAGCATCCTATCCTGCAAAAAACATTGATTGTTTCCTTTCTACAGGCTTGCTATTTTTTAGTAAATTTGATACAATAAGGGTTTTCTATTGTGTTATTTTCTTCGTATATGAGAGGAAGATCGGAGAAAAGATTTCAAACGGAGAGCAAATTAAAGAGAGAGGAAAAGTACATTGGAAGAAGGGCGTTGCGTTGAAAACTGCAATTTTACTGTTTCAGCAACAGCTATGAACTTTGTTGGGTATGCTCTTAAAACCATTGTTGGGTATGCTCTGCAATTCATCTTATCTTTATGCTCTATAAGTATGTGCTTCGTTAATTTATGTATGTTTGTGAATATTAACATTACAAAATTGTTCCATCCCATAGATATTTGCTTTTCTTTTTTTCTTTTTTTCTTTCAAGATTGCCATGAAAGGAAAAGGTTAATATATCCTCTAAAGCCTTGAAGCTCAGTCTATTGCTTGGGTGACCCATTGTTGCACTTAGCTTGACTCCACTCATATTTCTCATACTATGTTACTATCAGTACTGTTTGTTGTGGTGGTTGGTTCTATTTGAAAATAGGATTCACTGAAACTTAGGGGAGTGGTTTGGTACTGAAATGTCTATTATAGTGATGTTTTTATTCTCCTGTGAAGCATATTAGTACTCTCTCCGGGATGAGAATAAATATTTTGAGAAAAAAAGTTTTAAAAGTATAATGTGCTTAAAGTGTAACACCAGGAAATAAGAAATGAGAAAATAGGAAACTAGAAACGGAAAAATGACAATATTGTTTATTGGTTTTGTATCCCCTTAATTGGTTTTTCACCTTTCTTTATTATACTGACATAGCATCACTAGCTGCTGCAGTAACTGTTAGTCATGCAAATAGGAAAAGCCATTTGAATGGACAAACACCATATATCAGGTTCAATAGTAAAATTATTTCAGTTCTTATGATTCCATTAGAAGCAAGTTTGATTTTAGATGGTAGTTGTGAGAATTCCCTGATGAAATAGCAAACTAGCTTCTAGCAGTGTCATTTATCATTATGATACGATCACGAGATATACTTCGCGTTACGGGCCTATGGAATACTGAAGAGGAGGAATAGGAAGACTTAGCTCTACCTATGGTGGCAGTAGAGAAGTCTGAGATTAAGGACAGAGAGTTGGAAGAAGAGAAACCTTCTTGAGAGATCTTTATTCAAATTCCAACTTCTCCTTCAATTACATACTCTTGTCATATTTAAGGACTACCAACATACTTAACTAAGGAAGGAAAGATAATTACCAACTATAAAGAGATTCTGAATAATATTGAAAAAGGAAAGAGAATAAATAAGATTGCTTAAATCAAGGGCATGGCTGATCTGTGAGATTTGAGCCTTTTGCGGTAGTACTGTTGTCCCACGAATGCATCATCACCCCCGTCCTGGAGATCAAGCTTGTCCTCAAGCTTGAAGGATGGAAAACGTTGGCAAAAATCATCTAAACTTTCCCAAGTGGCATCTTCTTCCTGCAAGCCTTCCCATTGCACTAATAGATCTGTATTCCCTCTGTTCATACGAGTGGCAAGAATGTTGGCAGGACGCAGTTCAAAACGCCCATTCACAGCGGGAGGCAACAACGGTGTAGTAACCGGTGGAGGCCCATTATACTGCTTTAGGAGTGAAACATGGAAAACATTGTGCACTCTGCAATCACTTGGCAATTCTAATTGATAGGCAACTGACCCAATTCGTTTCTGCACCTGAAATGGCCCAAAATACCGATGTGAAAGTTTGTGAGTGCGCCGCATGGTCAAGGAGTTTTGGCGGTACGGCTGAAGACGAACCCACACCCACGCCCCAGGCTCATAGGATATATCCCGGTGTTTTTGGTTGTAGGTTTGCTCCATACGAGATTGTGCCGTTTTCAAGTGATGTCGAGCATCATGAAGTATTTCATCCCTTGACTTCAAAGCCTCGTCGACTGCAGCTAGCTTTGAGAGGCCCGGCTCATATGAGAGGAGGCGAGGAGGATCCCTACCATAAACCAGCTTAAAGGGGGTGGTCCGTAAAGCCGAATGGAAAGAGGTATTATAGCAATATTCTGCCCACGCAAGTGCCTCCACCCATTTACGTGGATGGTCCCCAACAAAGCATCTTAAATAGAGCTCAATGGTGCGGTTGACAACTTCTGTCTGCCCATCAGTTTGAGGGTGGTAGGCTGACGAACGAGCCAATTTAGAGCCGCTAAGTTTAAATAATTCATTCCAGAAACCAGAAGTAAAGATTGGATCCCGATCACTCACAATAGACTCCGGCAATCCGTGAAGCTTGAATATCTGAGAAAAGAATGCTTGTGCGACTGAAGAAGCAGTGTATGGGTGTTGAAGGGCAAGGAAGTGAGCATACTTGGATAACCGATCGACGACCACCAGGATAACCGATTTCCCATATACATTCGGTAGGCCTTCAATAAAATCCATGGATATGTCTGCCCAAATCTGTTCCGGAATGGAGAGGGGTTGGAGAACACCGGCAGGGTGAAGGTTCTCCCATTTGTGACGTTGGCAAACTGTGCACTGGCTGATGAAATCTCGAACATCTGAAACCATTTTTGGCCAATAAAATTCACGCCGTAGGCGGTGGACTGTTTTCTGAACTCCCTCGTGTGTTGCATTATGGGTGGCAGCCACTATGCGTGAAGTGAGAGCAGTATCTGGAGGGATGAATATTTTTCCCTTGTAAAAGAAAAGCCCATTCTGGAAGTTCCAGCCAAGAGATGAATCAGCAATCTTTTGTTCGAACTCCGCTAACCTTGGAAAAAGGCGTGTATGGGTCCTGATGTCGTCCAACAAGTCTGAATGATGAATAGAGAGGGCCAAGCAGCTACTACTTTCTAGCTGGTTCTGTCGTGACAGAGCATCAGCCACCGTGTTAAATTTTCCAGGCTTGTATTGAACCTCAAAATCAAATCCTAGCAGCTTGCTCATCCAATGTTGTTGCGGGGATGTCGTCAACCGCTGTTGAAGGAGATATTTCAAGCTGTAATAATCTGTTCGGATGACAAAGTTCCTGCCCCAGAGATAATGCCGCCAATTCCGTACAGCTTGCGACAACCCAATCAATTCCCTTTCATAGGCTGGAAGCTTCAAGTGTCTGTCTGCTAGCTTCCGGCTGTAAAAAGCTATTGGATGATCATTTTGGTGAATCACTGCACCAATGCCACTACCTGAAGCGTCACATTCAACCACAAATTGAGTGGAAAAATCTGGAAGTTGGAGGACAGGCGCTGAACACAAAGCCCGTTTGAGAGAAATAAAAGCAGCCTCGGCCTCGGAGGACCACTTAAAGTTTTGATTTCGTAAGAGATTTGTAAGTGGTCCTGCAATGATACCATAATTCTTGATGAACCGGCGGTAAAAACCAGCAAGGCCCAAGAAGCTTCTAAGAGCTGTGGTAGACCCTGGCGTAGGCCAATTGGAGACGGCTTGCACTTTCGTTTCGTCTACTGCCACACCTTGGCTAGATATCACATGACCCAAGTAGCTTACATGATCTACTCCAAATGTGCATTTACTCTTCTTTAAAAAGAGTGTGTGTTGGCGCAGCAAGAGGAAAACCAGACGCATGTGTTGGAGATGCTCCACCCAAGAAGCACTGTATATTAAAATGTCGTCAAAGAATACCAATACAAACTTCCGCAGGTAGGGACCGAAGACCTCATTCATCAAAGATTGAAATGTGGATGGTGCGTTAGAAAGGCCGAAGGGCATCACCAAAAATTCGAAGTGGCCATGATGAGTCCGGAAAGCCGTCTTTTCAACATCTTCGGGGTGCATTCTAACTTGGTGATAACCGGATCGCAAATCCAACTTTGTGAAAAATTTGGAGCCATGTAGTTCATCAAGCAATTCATCAATGATAGGTATAGGGAACTTATCTTTAACTGTTCGGGCATTTAGTTCCCTATAGTCAACGCAAAACCGCCACGACAAATCATGTTTTCGGACTAACAAACATGGTGATGAGAATGGAGACTTGCTAGGTCGAATGATGCCGTGATGAAGCATATCCGCACACTGTTTTTCTATCTCATCTTTGAGGAGCTGTGGGTAACGGTATGGTCTTACAACCACAGGGTCTGGTCCGGATTGCAAAATTATGCGATGATCGCACTCCCGTGCTGGTGGCAGCGCCGTAACTTCAGAAAAAATGTCACTAAAGAGGGCAAGCAATCCCTCTAAGACGTCTGCATTTGAACTTGGCGGTGGAATAGCATGCAGAGCAGGGAAAATGCATCCTTCTTCTGCTGTCCAGGTTACTGCAGTGTTGCAGTGGTAGAAAGTCATCTGCAATGAGTTGAAATCCCAGGTTATAGGGCCCAATTCTCTCAGCCATTTCACCCCTAAAACCATCTGAAACCCAGCCAAAGGAAGCACAAATAATGTTGCTGAAAAACTGTCGTGTCCCTTGGTGAAAGTGACTGCCTCACATACACCTAAAGCAGACAAACAATCCCCATTTGCCACTCGCACGCGGAGGTCCTTAAGCGGTGTCATTCGGAGTCCCAAATCACGCGATGTCTCAGCGTTGATGAAGTTGTCTGAACTGCCCGAGTCCAAGAGTGCGACGATAACAGTGGCTGCGATTTTGACCCTCACTTTCATCATATTCCCCTTTGTCACCCCGGAGATTGCGTTCAAGCTGAATGCCGGGGAGTCCTCCGTGTAATCCTCCAAAGCAGGTGGTTCTTCACCCTCCTCTAATGTCCATAGCATAAAGAGGTGTCGGCATTTATGACCTGGAAAATATTTTTCATCACAATTGTAGCATAAGTTTTTGGCTACGCGTTCGGCCTTTTGTTCGGGTGTGAGGAATTTAAATTTGGGCTTTTGTCGGTTGGGTGATGGACGTATGGGTAATGGAACACGGGCGGATGACGGGGCAGTTTGTGTACTGGTGTGCAGAGGTTTAGGTTTGGAGGACAAAAGGCCCAATAGGTGGCATTTGCGAGAAAGATCCCTGGCTGTGTTGATAGCTTCATTCAGAGTCGTTGGTTTGGTGCGCTCCACATCTATACGGATTATTTCATCCAATCCACCGGTAAACAAATCTACTCGCTGGTTGGGTTGTACTGTGCCTGCCCGTACCAACAGTGTTCGAAAGTCTTTGACATACTCATCGATATGCCGGCCTGCTTGAAACAATTGTTTAAGTTCACCTAATGCATTAATGCTGCGTGGTGGCCCGAAGCTGAGACAACACACTTTTTTGAAGGCAGCCCATGAGGAGAACTGCATTAACTCCGTTTCAGAATGGTACCATAATTGGGCTTCCCCAATCATATGGTGTGAGGCAAAAGTTATGCGATCTGAATCCTGAATATTGGCATTTCGGAAATAGGATTCGCAACGTAGCAGCCATACAAGAGGATCTTCATCTCCAGAAAACAATGGAAAGTCCATCTTAGCATATCGAATGAGGGAGTGATTATCATCCGGTGTTTCTTGGATAGCCGAATCCCCTTCCAGTTGGTGCACTGTTTCTGATTCAACTTCGGAGACTGGTGTTTTGCCCTGAGCAATCAGAAGTTGTTTCACCATTTGTTCTAGATTAACAAGGGAAGCTGCTTGTTGGTGTTGTGTTGCAGAGAGGGAAGACACAGTGGCCGAGAGGTTCTCAATTTTGTCAGCATAAGCTTCATGGGAGCGAACAGATTTCTGCAGTGCCTTGAAAGCAGGATCTTCAGTGATGTTACTGCCCATAACGCCGGCAACGGGAACCAAGTTGATACGATCACGAGATATACTTCGCGTTACGGGCCTATGGAATACTGAAGAGGAGGAATAGGAAGACTTAGCTCTACCTATGGTGGCAGTAGAGAAGTCTGAGATTAAGGACAGAGAGTTGGAAGAAGAGAAACCTTCTTGAGAGATCTTTATTCAAATTCCAACTTCTCCTTCAATTACATACTCTTGTCATATTTAAGGACTACCAACATACTTAACTAAGGAAGGAAAGATAATTACCAACTATAAAGAGATTCTGAATAATATTGAAAAAGGAAAGAGAATAAATAAGATTGCTTAAATCAAGGGCATGGCTGATCTGTGAGATTTGAGCCTTTTGCGGTAGTACTGTTGTCCCACGAATGCATCACATTAGATCCATTCTTAATTATTCAATCAATTAATTTAATGTTGAGTGTTGACAGATGGTGGTATTTCCTTGTCATGTTGAATTTCAATTCTAAATTCTGGACTCTTCTTCTTTTGACTAGTTTCAATTCCTAGGTGAAAAGATGTATTATTTCTAGTTTTTCAATCTTTCCTTGATGTGGTGGTATGATTGGCAGTAAAAAGTTAGAAGAAGATATGGGTGGTGGCATACTTTTTGGCGACTGCTGCTACCCTTGTTCCTGCAGCTCCACTCATAGAATTCAGACTTCTTTCTGATTCTCCATTCTCATGTTAATGATGACAGAATAAGTTGGATTCTGATGGGGCTGCTGTTAATTGCTTCACAATGTTCATGTTCTTGTTTCGACCGTTTTCCTGGACCCATGAACCTGGTATACAGAGGTTTATATGGTAGTAGAGGATTTGATTGTGAAAGAAAACTAAAATTTTGATCATTTCATGCACTGTAATGACTTTTCTGCATATGAAATGTATAGGTTAATTTTAGATTATAGTGTGTTAATAAACAACATTTCTACAGGATCACTTCCAAGTATTTTGGGGTTTTAAAATTTATTAAAATATTACTCCGTAATTCTTTTAATTTTAATTTTTTTTTAAAAAAAGGGTATCGCTACTGTTCCTAATTGAAACAGTAGCGGATACCCAATTTTTTTTTTTTTTAAGGTATTTCGCTAGAGTTCCACTGTTTCAACATAGGAACAGTAGAGGATACCCTTTTTAAAAAATAAATAATCTGTGACTATTCTTAGATAAGAACAATTGTAGATGACTCAACTTTCTGCAATTGTTGTAGAATAGTCGCAAAAAGTCCAAGGCTTTCTGCGATCCTAGCATCCGTGACTGTTGTACAATAGTTGTGAAACGCCCTTTACAACAGTAGTGAATGTGCAGTACAGTTGATGAGGATATAATATTTCTGAATGAATCAAATAATAAGTCTGTACAGGAATATATATAGTAGCGAATAGCAAACCTAATACAAGACTAATACTAGTAACAATAGGTAACGAATACTAATAATAATAATAGAGTCCTAATACTCCCCCTCAAGCACAAGGTGGACTAGCTACAACATTGAGCTTGCCACACAGAGTAGAGAAACGCGGACCAGGGAAAGCTTTAGTGAACACGTCAGCCAGCTGATCCTTAGTAGAAATGAAGCTAACCTGCAACTCTTTCTTTGCCACTTTGTCACGAACAAAGTGATAGTCAATTTCCACATGTTTCGTACGAGCATGGAACACCGGGTTGGGACAGAGATAAGTTGCACCCAGATTATCACACCAGAGAGTGGGAGGAGCTGCCAACGGCAACCGAAGTTCATGCAATAGAGAAACCAACCAGGTGACCTCAGCAGACACGTCAGCTAGTGCCTTGTACTCGGCCTCTGTAGACGAACGAGCAACCGTACGTTGCTTCCGGCAAGACCAAGAGATCAGATTGTCACCAAGAAAAACCGCAAAGCCGATAGTAGACTTTCTGTCAGCGGGGTCCCCAGCCCAGTCCGAATCCGAAAAAGCATGCACTGCAACAGAGGAGGATGGGCGAATAAACAGACCAAAATGCAAAGTGCCTTTAACGTACCGCAGAACACGTTTGAGCATTGCCCAATGCTCAGTAGTCGGGGAGTGCATATGCTGACAGACCCGATTCACAGCAAAAGATAAATCCGGACGAGTGACAGTAAGATACTGCAGAGCCCCAGCAAGACTGCGATACTGCGTGGGATCGGCATAAGGAACCACAGATTCAGAAACGGGTCGAGTCACAGGCACCGGAGTAGCCAACGGCTTGCAATCCACCATACCTGCACGGCTCAAGATATCTCGCATGTATCGCTGCTGAGAAAGAAACAAACCATCACCACGAGAGACCGTCTCAATGCCCAGAAAAAAAAGACGGAGCACCCATGTCACGAATCTTGAACTCCGAGGCTAAGTCAGTCAGAAGCCGAGTAACACGCGAAGCATCAGATCCCATAACAAGGATATCATCCACATAAACAAGCACATATAGAGATACAGAGTCACGAGTGTATATGAATAAAGAGACATCAGTCTTTGAAGGTGAAAAACCAACCGACACCAAGAAAGCATGTAACCTGTTAAACCATGGGCGAGGAGCCTGGTTAAGACCATAGAGTGACCTCTGTAATAAGCATACATCATCCGGTCGTGATGAGTCCTCATAGCCAGGCGGCTGTCGCATGTAGACTGTCTCTGCAAGATTACCATTCAGAAAGGCGTTGTGAACATCCAACTGCCGAATTACCCAACCGCGAGAGACAGCCAAGGAGAGAAGAAGCCGCACGGTTGTGGGTTTTACAACAGGACTGAAGGTCTCAAAAAAGTCCTGTCCTGCGACTTGATTGAACCCCTTAGCCACCAACCGAGCCTTGTGCCGCTCAATCGTGCCATCAGCCTTGCGCTTCGTCCTGAACACCCATTTGCAGCCTTCAACATTCATACCAGGTGTGCGACTAACCAGACGCCAAGTGTGATTCTGGAGCAAGGCATTAAACTCAAGATCCATGGCCTCACGCCATTCCGGATACCGAACTGCCTGAGAATAACAGGTTGACTCAGAAACAGTCATAAGAGCCACATGCTGCGTCGGCCCCAAAGAACGAGTCGCCATAACATGAGACCGAGGTGGAACAAGTTTTACCGTGCGCCAACCTCGCTTGGGCGCCCTAGGAGCACCCGAGACTGCCACATCTGGAGCCACGACAGTCTCGGTGCGGGAATCAGAAGCAGCACCAGCAGCCCCAGAATCCGTGTCCATCTCCGGACGAGGATCCGGCCTAGCAGAACAAACACCAGAGCTCGCGCCAACCTGAACGGCGCCAACACCCCACGGCTCAATCGGGCGAGAGCTAGAGACTTGAGAGGGGACAGAAGAAGCAAATGGAAATATGGTTTCATCAAACCGCACATGACGGCAAATGAATACCTTGTTAGTAGCAGGATCAAAACAACGATAGCCACGAAACGAAGACGGATAACCAAGAAACACACATGGAGAAGACCGATACTGCAACTTGTTACGATTATACGGGCGTAACAGAGGATAACAGAGACAGCCAAACACACGCAAGAAAGAGTAAGAAGGACTAGAACGATGCAACCGAGAATGAGGACTATCATTATCCAAAACCCGAGTCGGCATCTTATTGATGAGATAGACCGCAGTCTCAAAGGCATAATCCCAATATCGTTGTGGAACCGAAGCCTGGGCCAAGAGAGCCAAACCCGTTTCCACAAAGTGACGATGCCGACGCTCAACTCTACCATTCTGCTCATGGGTATAGGCACAAGACTGCCTATGATTAATACCCAAAGAGACAAAAGTACGGTGCAACCGTTTATACTCTCCCCCTAAATCAGATTGAATAGAGACAATCTTACGACCATATGAACGCTCAACTAGTGACCGAAACTGCTCGAAGATAGCATACACATCAGTTTTCAAACGCATAGGATAAAACCATACATAGCGCGTATAGTCATCAACAAACAAAACAAAATAACGAAAGCCATTGACGGAAAGAAAAGGCGCTCGGCCCCAAATATCAGTATATATAAGTTCTAAAACATGAGACGTAGTAGTATTGACACGAGGCAAGGGAAACCGTGAGGATTTCCCAAGCATACAAGCACGACACAACTCCGAAGTATCACTAAAACTAGACTGAATAGAACATGAATTTAAAATCTGCCGCAAGACACGCGGGTGAGGATGACCCAACCGGCTATGCCACACGTCAGAGGAGACTCGAGAGGCCACAAACGCAGCGGGACTTGAACGAGAGACAGGCCAAGAATAGAGACCCCCCGAAGCCGGCCCTTTATATAGAACTTCCCTGGTTGAACGATCCATCACAAAGAAACAATCAGGGTGAAACTCAAAAAAGACATTATTATCACGAGCAAACCGTTGCACAGACAATAAAGACGCAGAAAGCCCAGGAACATGAAGAACATCAGACAATCGAAACAGTGTTTTAGATGCGGCTAACGAAGATGAACCAGTACTAACAATAGGTAAACACTTACCGTCACCAACACGAAGATGATTCGGACCATTATAAGGAACCACTGAGGACATTAAAGACGGATCCGGAGTGGCATGATTCGACGCACCAGTGTCAGGAAACCACTGCTGAGGATTAACCGAAGTCGAATCATCAACAGAATATGCAACATGTGCCCGCGGCCCCGGAGCGCCATCATAACGACGATAGCACGAAGCGGCCGAGTGGCCTTCGCCGGAGCAGATCTGGCACTGGACAGCCCCGGCGCCACCTCGACCGCGGCCTCGGCCCTTGCCACGACCTCGGCCTCGATTGCCGCCGCCACAATGCTGCCCGCCCGAGCGACCTCCACCTCGCTGAGCCGCCATGGCGACCGGAGCAGTAGCAATGTCACCACCATCATCAGCACATATAAAGGCCTGCGAAACAAGAAAATCGGATAACTCGGGTAAAGACACCAGAGCACCCCTCGTCAGCGACGCCACCAAAGGGCGATATTTGGACCGCAAGCCCCGGAATATATACATATTCTGATCTTCTAGTGTCACCGGACGGCCGGCAAGTGCCAAATCCTCAATAAGCACCTGAGCACGCCCAAGATAATCCGGGATCGAAGCATCCCCCTGCCGCAATCCTTGCAGTTCGCCCACCAACCGAATAGCACGGGCCCGAGTCGTCGAACCAAGAACCTGTTCGATCGCCACCCACAAATGCCGAGAGGAGGTTTTACCGATGGCAAGATGCACGGCCTTATCTTGACGAACCAAGAACCTGTTGGACAAGGACGAGATCAACAAGGAGAGCACAGCCTTATCTTGACGAAGCCATGCACTCCGAGCGGCGGACGATACGGCCGACGAAGACACGGCAGCAGCAGCCTACTCGGCAGAAGGTACAGTAATCGCAGTAAACGGGGGACACACAGACGTTCCATCGACAAAACCCAATAATCCATGCCCATCCAGGAACGGAAGAAGCTGAGTGCGCCAAAAAAAAAAAATTACGGGATGTCAATTTGATGGAAATGAAGTGATGAGCCGAAGAAAACGACACCCCGGACTGCAGGGGTGCCACAAGCGCAGCCTCAGAAACAGTCCGTTCAGAACTTCCAACAGAACCGCCACCAGAACCGAGGTGCGCCATAGAGAGAGAAAAAGAACCTGCTGATACCAGATGAGGATATAATATTTCTAAATGAATCAAATAATAAGTCTGTACAGGAATATATATAGTAGCGAATAGCAAACCTAATACAAGACAAATACTAGTAACAATAGGTAACGAATACTAATAATAATAGAGTCCTAATACAGTTATGTATTAGTGAATTTATATATATATATATATATATATATATATATATATATATATATATATATATATATATATACACGTAAATTGTAAATATTTTTTAATATGCATAAATATTAATTAATTAAAAATATTGCACTACTAAATCATTAAAGAAAAACATGTATTTTTAATCCATTAATTGTTCCTTGCTAATTATTTTAGTCCTTAACTTTTTACCATTGCAATATACACTTAAATCTTCAAAAAAGTTACAATTTTAACTTATGGACCAACAAAAACTATTGAACTCTATTAAATTTTTACTTAGTACATGTGTAATTTAGTTTTATTTTTATTTTTATTTTTTTTTTATTTTTTTATGTTTCTTCTAAGTTATATGTAGGAACCGTTGGTAGGAAAACAAATAATAAAAAAAAAAATAAGATTATTATTTTCTGGAAAACAAGGAAGGAAAGATGGAGAAATATGGCTAGTGTTTGGTGTTGGGTTTTGCAAGAGTCAAGTGAGCACTCTTTCCTTAAAACCTTATTTGCCACCTCCCAAAGATGCTAGGAGCGTTGTGGCCTAGGCTTCCCAGGATAAAACTTTCTAGTGATTCAATGTTTGAGCACTCAAACAAGGAATCCGGCGAGCAAGACACGGTTATGAACACAGTAGGCTAAAGAAGGAGTAGAAGCAGAGAGGTTTTGAGGCTAAAAATTGAACTTTCGTGTTTTATCTTTCTGTGTGTAAATCTCTACTGCCTCTACCCTCTCTTATATAGGGTTGAAGGATTAAATAGCTTTTATTAGGGCACTTTAAAGCTGGCTCTCCAACAGCTATAACAGCAGGCCACTACCTGAGAATTGAATTCAGAATTCAAAATTAGAATTAATAGACAATTAATTCCGTAACAGATGAATTCAATCTCCTTAACAGTCAGAACTTTCGGGTTCCAGACCGTTGGCGTACAGGGTTCGGTCTCAACTTTTGACCTCACCCAGTTTCGGCCCTTGCACCTCTCGTGGTCTCTGTTGCACGAGAGTTGTGCTCTCGGTGCACCACAACCTCTCGTGCTCTCTTGTAGCACGAGAGTGGAGTGGTGTTCTCGGTTTCGACCGAGGCAAGTGACTATATCGGTTGGAAAATGATACCGAAGTTTGGCATAACTTAGCCCGCAAGGCGGGCTCCGGACGACATTCGTGCCGTCGCACACGACTCGGGCTTGAATCAAGCCGTTTTCAATCTCGTCTAGTTGGAATTTGATTTGTACCCCCCCCCCCCCCCCCCCGGCGCGAGAGAGCCTCTATACTATACAATTCTACAAGCTTCAAAAGAGTTCTTGTATATAAGGATGGGCGGGGGGGGGGGGGGGGGGGGGGGGGGGATTCTTCATTCCAAAGCAATGTGGGACAAAAGCTCACTTTTTCCCTTCATTTTCCAACTCAAATGGGTCTACTTTGAGAATCAATATCTCATTCACCCATTATCCATTTTGAGCGTACA